GCTACAAACCCACCATGGCGAGAAAAAGCGCGCTCGCACGGCGGCGTGGCGAGTCAATGAACCTGGAAGAAAAAGCGTGCGTGGCGACGTCGTACGGATTTTTTGCGCTCTCAAAATCTCCCGCGAACCACATCAATCCCGCCACCTTCGTCCTCAGTTATTATGTATTAGGACCATCTTTCCCTCTTCTTCGTTCCCCCCTCTTCCCAATCCCCAAGGTACCATCGATCCAAAAGAACCCTTTATAAAACGCAGAGAGAGGGCGAGCGGAGGCGAACCGTAAAAAAATTGAAAAACGCTAAAAACACTCAACTATAGGTTGACATCAAAAAGAAGTAAAGCTAAACAGCGAACTGATAAAAAACAGCGTAAACGATCTAAAAAAAAAAAAAAACTATTGAATCGGGCAATTGCGCGCTTCCCTTCAGTCAACCGGACAGCTGCATGAGATGAGGAGTAATACATCTAAAAAATAAATAAACACCGAGAGTTCGCTGGAAAAGAAATTAACCCCCCAACACGAGGCGCACCAACATGAAAATGTCGTAGGAACAATGACGCCAGCGAAGAAATCTGTCAATGCGATCGATACAGAAACGCGCGGAGGCGGCGCCGGCCGGTGTTCCCCCTCGCCCTTTAACTGCTTCCCTTCCTCATGGCCAGCTTTGCCTAAGCTTTTGTAACACCTCTCTCTCGCTCTTTTACGCGCCCCGATAGTTTGCCGATATCAGACGCAATTAGCGTTACCTTGCATTTTTTATGAGACATGGCAGCTTCGCGCGCGATGAAAAACGCGACAAGGTGGGCAAAGTGTCGTTCAGACCGATGACGATGATTGTTATTGCGTGGTACACTCCGCGAACACAGCTGCTCCAGGCCGCACGAACGATTTGCGTCACCGGTTATGGGCCTTTTGTCTATCGTCTCTCAACCTGAGTCTGCTAAACTAAGATACAAAAAAAAAAAAATTAATAAAAGAAAATAAGAAAACATTCGAAGAATTTAAGTTGGGACGCCGCAACAACAGCGACACTTGTGTTCGCTCGTGCTTTTCGCCAACATTTCTACGACGAACCGCCGGGATCGCTACATCAGACAGCATAGAACATATGAGCATTCTTTTTTTTCTTTTTTAAGTCATATGTTGCCATTTTGGGACCACTTTCTGTGCATGGGCGGGATAGGACGTTAAACACACCAGTCAGAGACGCGTTACAGGCGGCGTAATTATAGTGGGAGCTATATTACCGAATTCGTAGGAACATTTCCCCCGTTGTACTCCATGGAAAAGGCTGGGGGTGGGGCCACTTTTCAATTGTCTTTGGTTACTTGAATACATATATACGTATAGCAAAATGGGGAATGTTGGCACAACATATACGTCGGCTCGGTATACACTGGACGACAGTTGATTCAATCAGAATGAATATACACCCACACCGACGGACGCAGGAAAAAAAAAATGCATCTGGTATTTCACCCGACAAGGTCATTTTTTGCGTCTGCGCGGTCTCCACAAGCTCTATTGTATCTCAATTCGTCAAATAGCCCCAAGTATGAAACCTCGATTTCACATTTCGTTCTATAGTTGAGAACTTTAAAAACGGGAAGGTGTACGCCACAGACGCAGGCACTGTTTCAGCGTATATTGTCCACGATATAATACGTACAAATCACGTAACTTACGCAGACGAAAATCCTCGCACAAACTGGTAAAACACTATGCACATCATGCATGCATGCACGCAATACAACCGCGAATATTCGCGGTTAGAGAAAGGGTACGTGGCAAGACCCGCATGGATCGCATAGTGAATTACTGCGAACAAAATGTAAAATTTTAGTCTTGTAAACTATCCCCCCCCCCCCTCCCCTTTTTCCCCGCCCTTTTGCTATGAAAGCACTACTGCATCGAACAACTCACAACGCGCCGGCTTTATCTTTTTTCTTTTTTTCTTTTAAGAAAGGGAGCGGGGCATTGATTCCACGTTTAAGCGGTTTGGGGTCACGAACATTTCAGAAGTTGGAAAAAGCTGGAAACGACGGCTACGCGCGTCACCCCATATTTTCTCTCCGCAGATTTAAGACGTCAAGGTACCTTGGTTCAAAAACCCCGGCGAGCAACACACAACGTACAACAAAGGGAGCCAAAAGAAATGCGTGAAACGTAATTGACACCTCGCGCCAATTTCGCCTTTCGCTCAAATCTCGGCAAAGGCGCTGCAAATCGTCCCCCTCCCTTCACACTCCATCCCCCTCTAACGCTTGACAAACGTCCAAGAACGAAACAGCTGCGTGACTCACGAACCTATGCACATAAACTGGGACGGGAGATTAGTGAAATCCGTCGCCGAGGCTAATCTCGCCCTGCATTACCAATCTTGCTCCTTTCTTCCTTTTTATCCTGAGTGACTGGTGAAGGATACAGTCGGGGCGAGGCAAGACAGTCGAGGAGGTGTGGGGCGCCCAACTCAAACAATGTCCGGCAGATATAAATGGCGCATGTGTGGGTGCGGGCTGCATGGAAGTTCTGGAGGGAGGACTCGCTTGGCAACGAGGGGGTGCAGTGAAGAAAAGGATACCATTACTTTTCTGTGTACACGCCGGACACGCCTGACTGGTAAATATCTGGAAGATAAAGTGTCCACTGGTTGAAAAAATACAATGTTTCCTTTTTGCTTTTCTTTCCCCTAAAATAAATTTAAAAAAAAAAACAAAAAAAAAAAACAGCACTTTTTGACACGGTGTGTTGTATTGTTCGCTTCCCTCCGAGCCTCGCAGCCACGGGTTTCGGGCCTTGTTCAGCCTGGACATTCGAAATGGTGTGGCTAGCCTTGCGAGCCACACAGAGTACCTCAAGTTCCTCTCAGCCTACGATGGACTGAAGGCAAAAGCTACGGACGGCCAGATCCAATCATGAGTCACTTAATTCCGCCTTATTTCCCTTCGATGCACGTATCGGTGCCCGCGTCTCAGATCGCTGATAGAGATGGGCGGACTGTGGCTCGAATCTAATAGCACTCAGTGACTCATCAGTTTACACTGCGAAGAAAGCCACTATATACAGGCTCTTTACAGTGTCGAAGGGGTTTTTTATTCGGAGCATTATTCGACCACCCCTAACCAATGTTAGGCATGTTATAGATTAGCGTGGAACGTGATTGGACCTGGCGGCCCGTGGCTTTGGCCTTTAGTCCATCGTAGGGTGAGACAGAGTATACTAAAGATTGTTATTATTATTATTATTAATGCGCGTTATATGGGACCCATATACATCCGTAGCAGCGAGGCAATACATCTGATAGTATGAACAAAAGCAGACAATGGTTCAGGCGGTTTTGTTGAGGCTTCTAAAGTTCCCAACAACAGCATGGGACAGCAAGAAGTTCAAGTTTTTAGGTTAATAAAATACTACTATTGACCTTCGAGAAGTGGTGCATTTTTGCAGCCTTTCTGAGCCATGGCCGCTGTATAGGCAGAAGAACAGTTGTATGTTGTTTCAGATTCGGTTTCTTTCTCTAGGGTGCGGTTTACATTACGAGGGGATACGTGCAGCGTTCTCAAAAACAATGCACCTGAGCCCGTACCCCGAGCAGCATCGCCAGGCCAAAGTTATTCCAGACAATGGAAGCCAACACTTGGCTAAAGGCACCGCTGTCAATCACGGGCGTCAGGCTGGAAGCCAAGCTGCCGCATCAACGCTCAATTAACGCGAAGGCCACCAGCTCCATCATCCTGCATGACAAAAGAAGCAGACGAAACAGCTACACCAATGACTCCTCCAATGGCGTCGTTGACGTGAAACACGAATGCGCTATGCGACGGCTGACGCACATATATAAATTCTTTCATGTTTACGGCTGGCCCTTATCGGTGAGATTTCGCAGCGGCCCGCAGTGAAATTTCAGTCCTGGCCCGCTAAATCTGGCGGGAAAATTTATCCGTTAAAATTAGTCGCGAACCAGTGTCGTGACGTCAGTGTCGCGTTACGTCATATGTGTCACGTGACGTCACAGTGTCGCACACGAACACCATCCCCTAAATTTAGAGGGACTTTAGCACTGCAGTACAACCGGGTGTAGCGTCTCGGCTGTCGACGTAAGTTCGTTTTCAAAAAAACAACAAAAAACCGGGATATTTTTTTTTTCTAAAGTTACATCAGGATTGTATTTGCGAAAAGCGTGAACATCGGAGATAGTATTACTCTAATATGATAAAATCGAACGATTAAAGATCCAACATGGTTGCTCCATGGACAAAGTCTCGACACTTTCCACGGAGGAGTAAATCGCGGTTTGGGCTTTCGGTAGCGTGCTAGTCGGTAGATATCGGAGCAGGAAGTTCTCTTTCCTGCCTGTATTTTTGTCCGTAGCGGTGAATCACTCTCATCATACATTTTCGACCGACGACCGACTGTCGACAGAGCCTCACGACGATGTGTCACATTTGCACATTCGTTAAAGCCCTAATTAACCATACCCGGCACTTTTTTTTTTTTTTTTTTAATTTTGGGGCATTTAAGTTTATATAGCAGCATTCTTTCCTATCACAAAACCGCGTACGTGTAAAGGTGACTATCGGTGCTCGGGCAGTTAGACAAGTAAAACTTAAGCCCAAAAAATTATTACGGTTCTTTTTTCTTTCTTTTTTTGCAGGTTCCACCTACTTTTTCTCAGGAAGGCGACACGGAAGCGACTTCAGGCAAGAGACATTTTCGCCGACCCAGACGTACCACCACAGATCGACCAAGCAACATCAGAGGCAAATGCCTTCCGCCTCCCTCTCAAAAAAAAAAAAAAAAAAAGAAAAGAAAGATCAGCTTTACGCGACAGCCATCTGCACCCACGAAATAAATCCCGAACACAAAATTCCAGCACCGCGCACCAGAGAGAAAACCACCCCCACCAAAAACAGAAACGACGGCGGCACCGTCGACGTACGTCACAGGCCACGTGATCACCTACGCGACGTTTACGCGCGCAAAATCGCCATCATCCCCCGCCGCTCCGAAGCACGTGGCGGCGCTGCGCGCGCTCTTTTTTTTCTCCGTCACGAAAGCGCGCGACGGCGAGGCCGGCGAGCTGCGGGCAGGCAGGCAGTGCAGCCGCGCTTTTTTCCCCGTCGGCGTGCCATCGGCAAGCACCACCACCACCGCCGCCGCTGCTGCTGCGTCGCTCTACGACGCAGCGTCGCCCCGAAGCCATGTCCACTTCGCGATCGTCGGCACCGTCGTCGTCGTCACCGACTGCCAGCAGATCACCACCACCGACGGCCACGACACCGAACCCAGTGTGAACGCGAGAGAAAACGTCGAGTGCTCGGATAACGGGAGCTTTGCTCGCTCGTGGTGCGGTATCTTCGAGTCCACGGATGCTGTTTCCGCCAGCTCGTGCCGCGGCGACGGCATGACGATTGTGCGGCGGTCGGGGAAGTGAATCGTGCGCGTTCGGATCGCAAGGTGAATCACGCCGACACCGAGGATGTGGTCAGTTTGTCGGGCGCTCCGCGCCGGTGACGTGAGGGACGCCGGAGAACTCGCCATCTTCCGAGCATCGGCGGCGGTGCAGCGGCGACTTCTCCTGATGATGATGATGATGTTGATGGTGACGTCCGATAGGGCGCGGGCTGACGGTGAGTGATCGCTCCTCTTTCACTTCTCATCCGCATCCTCATCTTCATCCCTCGCGCCCGTCGTGGAGGGATAACACCTTATCCCGGTTACATCATCATCATCATCCCGGATACGCGCTTTACGCGAATGTATTTCGATGCGTAGGCTGCTACAGTGACCGAGCATGGTCCGTTATTGTCAACAAAACGTTCACTGTAACGGATGATGCCGATAACCATTTTCTACATCGTGTTTATGAATGCTAAAGACAATCTCTACCAGAATTACACTTCAGCCAAAACCACTGACTTCTTTTTTTTTTTTTTATGCTTACTCATAGTATCTTGGGATATATCTGCCTTATCGAATAAAATATAGCTGTTTAGATTCGAACGTTAATTCATTTCTTGTAAATACTGCCAACACTTGCTGATTATTCCCAGAATGTGCGACAATGTTTCACGTCGACTAATTCATAAACACATGCAAGAAATCATATTTCACGCAGTGAAATCATCACTCTGTATAATTTATGTCGTAAAGACAAATATTGTGTCCCGGACCGCCTATCGACAACGACAAAAAATGGCCACGTAACGTAACCTCTAACACCATGTCTGCGATCCAATACTCGCCGATAGCATGATTGTGTCTCTGCAACCTTATGATCGCAAGAACACGTGGGTGCAAGTGAGACTATGCTCAATCTCCTACACGTCCCTAAAAATAAATACATAAAAAACAATACCAAACTTACGAGTCATTTTGTCACTAACCGTCAAATGCCCGAGTGCATGGATGCACAGCAGAGCACGTGCCTCATTGAAGCTAGGTAAAGTATTCCTGGATTTAGAGAACGACGGATGTCACGAAACCCAAAAGAAATCCAGAAGAAACAAAACTGCATAATCGCTGGAAAAAGGATCACCCCCCCCCCCCCCCCCAAAAAAAAAAAAAAAAAAAAAAAAAAAAAACATTATAGTGACCGTCAAAGGCGGCAGCTAGAAAAATTAGGTCTCCACCCTAGGTACTGTTTTCAATCTCAAGATGTACACACAAACATTAAATAATATAGATTATGTAAATAAACAAACTAAGCGACCAGCCCATACAGCGTAACCAACTCAAGATCGCGTGTTTACGGTGCTCGATCAAATGGCTGCCTGATCCTTCAAAAAAGAAAAACATAGCCAATTGAAAGTGAACCCAAATGAGTCTAACTGCTCCAGCACGCAGCTTTCTGTTTCATCGGGCAGCGGAGCCCTTCGTTCTATTTCTCTGGTACATTGCACCAGAGTTACATCCGCCCCTTCGTAGAAATTAGCCGCAAGCGACGGTTTTCCCGCTCAAGAAAACAGAGAAAACTAACTGCTGGCTGGCGCCGTCTCAAATGCCGTCACGACCCCGAAAGGAAGGGTATCGTCGGCTAACGTAACTCAGTCACCAATTAAAGAGGCAATTACACGCAAGCAGCACAGCTCTCTCTTGGACGTCAAGACGCTGTCCTCGGAGCAAAACATGTATCTCCAAGGGCAGACAGCATTGTACAGTACAGTTCAATGTCTCCAACTGGAGCTGTAAGATGGTACAAAATATATACTAGGCTCAAAGTTTTCCTTGTCTTCTTTATTGCCCCGGAAATATCGACAACGCGTTGATGACGGTGCTGGCTGTTTAAGTCCGATTGTTACTATTATGTATACAATGTGACATTGAAGGCGTTGGAATGATGGTAAAGCTGGGAGTCTCATGCACCAGCATAGTAGAGCGCCTTCGTACGGACGCTTGATGGACATACAAAGCTTTGAGCATCCGTTGTGTCGGACCCAAAAAAATAATAATATTTTAACAAAAAAGAAAAGAAAGCAAACAAACAAGCACAAAACGCCTTTCTTTATCTCTGCCTGGAAATACAACCGTATAAATGTTCAACTATTTGTCCCAAATATTTGTGGCTTCTACAACCAAAAAATTTAAGCTAAACTCTAATTTTGAGGGCAAAAAGAAAAAAAAAGAATAAAAAAAGGCCGAATAGGAGGAAAATATCAGAAAGATATGGCACATCCATCATCTGTTTTATTACACACATACATCATTCCGTATAATCAACCGTGCTTTTCCTATCTCGCGTCTGTCACGCCGTTTATTTTGCATTCAACTTAAAACATTAAGTTTTACAAAACGCACACTGTAAGAAATAACTGTGTAAAAAAAAAAAAGAAAAAACCCACAAAAACAGAAAAAAGCTTGGCAGCTCTTTTACGACAAATTATATTTTCGTCTGTCCCTGTTTCCGTCAATTTTTTTTTTTTTTTTTGTAAAATTATTGACTTTTTGTTGCTTAGCCTAGTAAAAAAAACAGTTTCTGTTTTTAGAAATCTGAAACAAAGCTTTTGTAAAAAAGAAAAGGAAAAAAAGACGGGTTCCTGTTCTGGAAGTTTGTGAAAAAGCAGTCTGTTTTTTTCCCGGTTGCAAGAAAAGTTTTACAACAATAAATACCAGCGACGCAGTTCGCTGTTATGTATTTATCGCAGTCAAACTTTATCTCCCCACTCAAGCTCTAAATGCGCCACAATGCACTAACACCTACAAACGGAACAACACACAAATAACAGCAACACTACAGCCAAACCAATCTCGCACCCTTCTCTACGAATGCCATGACATTTGTCGCATAAACACGTAGAGGCTGACCAAATATTACTCTTAATATTTCTTGCAAATTTTTCAAAGAAATAGTTTATATCTCTTAATCCAGCGAATTAACTAATAGCAACAGTAGATTATTTAACGAAAATGTATTAACGTTTAATATTGATTTGATGAATCATGTTAAAAATACAGTATTGACGCTGATTCCCAATAGAGTATGGACTGTGTACGAATTATAAGATATCAGTATATTATTCAATTACCCACTGCACGCGCTACCGGGAAAAATACGAAGAAATAGCCTATAGCAAAATGCCGCCATACCACTGTCAATGCTAGAGTGCCTTCATGTCCCGCTCGAACATGAAGGCACTCTAGTCAATGCCAAGTGCTCGAGCCAGGAGACGGGCGTTCACGCCGATCGGGAGCAAAAAGAAAACAACGCAAAAGTGTTGGAAACAAAATGGTCATGTCTATCTTGTACCTTGTATTGCAAACAAACATTCCTTTATAAAATAATTTCTTTTAACTATGGCTTCGTACACTGATTTCATATTCATCCGTATTGCAAGATGTGAAAAATAAAGTTTTTTTTTTTTTTTTTTTTAACAGTAATTTGACTACGTGGGAATAACATAAACTCTGTTTTCTTACAATTTAGTAAAGTGCTTACTCAAAAAAACAAAACAAAAAAAAACGACTTTTTTTTAATAGATTTGTTTTTTTTTTTTTACCGTGATACAAGTATCGTTAGTTTGTTTATTTACAAAAAAACTTGCGTTCCTGACGAATAACGTAAGCCCTGCTTTTTAACCGATAAGCGAGTCAGTATTTGAATCTAACAAAACCGTTTCCTTATTTTCACCGAAATTTTCTCCCTATTTCTCGTTATGTTACTTTTTTTTTTTTTTTTTTTTTTTACGGTGAATTTTTTAAAATTTGTTAATGTGGAAAATTTTCTAGCCCTTGTCTCAAGCAGCGTCACACGCAAACGTCGCTCCCCCCACACAATTGGACGTGAGCCGGAAAAAAAATCTTCAGCATTCCTACAAAGACCCTGCCAGACAGACGCCTTGCCGGCCTTGAGATACGCACGTTCGGCATCTCTTCACGGCTCAATTCACGCAGTCCTCCGATAAAGTGTAAAAAAGGCAACATTCTATCGAAGGCCGCCGGACACGTCTCCATGAACAACAAACCAACGCCCATGTTGTTGTTGGCTTGACAGCAATGATCGCCTTCGAAATTCCCATGTTGTTGTTGCCTTGGCAGCAACGATCGCCTTAGAAATTTTACAATTAAATAAAAAAGGAATGGACGTGCACTGAATATCATTTCGACCGGGCATTTCAAACACACGTTCCATCCACCACTCTGCCGGACTTTCTCCATCGTAATTTTTTTTTTTTTTTTTTCGTTTTCACGAGCAGTTAGAATCTGACGACGTGACAAAAACATCTAGACATCCGTTTGAAAGACGACTGCTTAAATATTGGAGAGACACAAACGTGAAAAGACACGGAAAAGGCTCGCGAAAATACGATTACGCAATGTAGTAGTGCCTGGTGTTAAAGTAAATCTAGAGATGCAAAAAGGCGTAAGAATATACTGGCGTTCCTGCAGTTCACAGCATTCATGTCCGAGTCAACTTTAAACAGAACTTCCGCCGCTATTATAAAAGCCTCCAGACAGGAGCCTTCAAAAAGCCTTTGAATGTCCATGAAACAGTTGTATAACTTTACTTGTTGCGTAATGGTGACCTGAATGCACGCGTGATTTGAAACAATTGCCTTTACCATTGCTATGCACATGGGACTTGACCAGGAGACTTAGATCAAATGTAATACAATGCAAGCTATGTTATTCTGGAGGAATAGCCTGATGCAATATCCATCTAGGGTCTGCGCAGACCCACTTCGACTACACTCTGGCGTGCGCATACCCCTAGCACGACAAACGTGGGCGGACGCGCGTGCTGAGGGCAGAGCTTCAATATTCAGTACGGAACTCAACTCTCAACCTGACAGACAAACTATAGATGCAGTGTAATGTGTTCCGATACCATACGATCTTTAATCGACCGTGCTACACGACAGCACGATGTTCAATCAGCAATGGAAATGTTTTGGTGTACCCAGCAATAATCCTCGTCCGGTCGAACGCGCTCAGAATGATAACAAGGCTGCGACTTGCATCAGCCAGCCAACCATGAAAATTCGGTCCGTACATCACATAGCAGCACCCACGAGTGTGCTCTTTATCCCAAACGGCATACAGTTGCGTCAGACACCTGCGGAGCTCGGCTCATTCCGCCGACAACGAAACAGCTGCTTCCTGCATGCACCGTTCTTCAGCCCTTTTTTTTTTT